TGCCTTGTCTAATTCGTTGAGTAGTCGCCCGAATCTTTTCGCGCTATAGTTTCCCCCCCTCCGGGCGAAAGTGCCAAGTCAAACCGTGTCTTGTTTCATGCACATACCCGTCCCTGTCTGTTGAAGCTATCCCGTCTCGTCTATCCCATGCCGTCTATCCCAACTTAATCCGATCCCACCCCGCCCTGCCCCGCCCCGCCCATATCATCCCCAACTGCTTCCAGCCGATCTCCACCGGCACATAACCGACGAGGGCTTAATGTACATCCAGTTCGCGTTCCGCTGGATGAACTGTCTGCTGATGCGGGAGCTTCCGCAGCGGGCGGTGGTGCGGGCGTGGGACACCTACCTGTCGGAGGAAAACGGCTTCGAGTCGTTCCACGTCTACGTGTCGGCGGCCTTGCTGTGCCACTTTTCGGGCACCCTCCGGGAGATGGATTTCCAGACTATGGTAAGGAGAGAGGGGAGCAGGCAGGCAGACAGACAGTTATTCTCGCGAACACAAGACTCAAGAAGTGCCGTTTGGGGGGGGGGGGCGGGGGAGTTGTCGCCGTGTGCGCCACTACTGTTGTATTTGTAGTAGTGAGAGACCTCAAGATCTGCGGATAGACCGTTTTGTACCGCGAAAGGCTCGTGCCTGCAGCGTTGCGGAATGTCGACGCCAAGCCCATTGCGTCGCTCGAAAGAGTTGGCGCTTCCGTTGCATTTGGCGCTCTATGTCACCTGTACCGGTGGTACTACAGGCCACCGCCTTTGGCAAGCCTTTCCATGCAGAACGCGCATGAGGGGGGGTTGGGAGGAGTCAGGTCGCCCATTCTCTATCCGGTGTTGGTCAACCAGCCGCCCAACCGCCGAAAAGCGCATGTGAGCCTCATCGTAGCATGTGCCCTCCAAACCCGAAACACAGGTGATGTTCTTGCAGGACATGCCGACCAAGGAGTGGGGGGAAGAAGAGGTGGAGCCGCTGCTCTCCCAGGCGTACATCCTCAGCACGCTCTTCGAGGGGTCGCCCAACCATCTCGGCGCAGCCTCGTAACCCGCCGCCACCGCCGCCGCCGCCGTGCGCCTTGCGACGGTAGTGCGTGCCTACCCACCGATTTGGCAGCAGCAGCAGCAGAGCGACGTTTACTGCGTCGGACGCACGAGCGTAGCGGGGCCCGAGGCGAGCAGTGCAGCAGCTACAGAGCGTCACGCTCGTTGTGTCGTTGCCACAGATACCTCTAAGAGGTGCGAAGGGTAGTATCGACAACATCAACAGGAGTGGTGGGCGTCGTGCTTGGCGGCGGGGAGAAGGGCGGTGAAGAGAAGGATGGCGCGTGGGCGGGGCGGGGGCGACCGCGTGGAGCCCATTGTATGGGCGGCGTTTCGCAATCCTCCCGGTACACCACGTGGCGCGAGTGTCCATGTGACTGTATATTGGCCTGTAGCGGCCCGCTTGTAATGGCACGTGCGCTAGCTTGCTGTGGGGGTGATGTTGACGGGTACCTACGCAAAACGTGTGCCGCTGTGTAGTGATCAATAGCATTTGTGGTTCTAGTCCTACCACGTTTAATTCTCCTTGTTCTGTTTGTCCCAAGCGTCGGCAGTGTTTGAAGCTTGGGGGCACTTTTTCTTGACCCAATCGTCGTGTGTTTGTTGGAGAAGCCAACGCGATGGGTTCGGCATGTTCCACGTAGCGTTGACCCCTGCTTGGGCGTAGGATCTTGAGTGTCTACGTTCTGCAATATAGAGGGATGGGCCATTTTGATGACACTCATCAGAGGTTAATGGTTGCCCGTTGTTGCGGTGTTTTTTTACACAAAATCTTCACACAGAGTCGAGCAAGCACAAGACCGTTTTCCTGATTGAACATGTTTCAACAAGCCCACCAAAAACAAAACAGAAGTCAACAAGTTGAGGTTGCAAACAAACAAAAGGTCCACGTTCGACTCCGAAAGCAATGAATGAAGGGGCCACCGCCACGAGCAATCTTGCCAGTTACGCCTACATGTAACGCCCCTACATAGTTCTCCACCAATAACAAGACGGGGTGCAGCACCACCACCACCGGTAGAATCAGCGCAATGCTGCGTGCACACAACTCAATTTTAAAAAATAAAACAAAAGCCCAAACACATGCATTCGTTACTTGTACAAAGCCAGCGCTAACCCAAGCTACGCGGGTCAACTTGTCAACTCGCACCCCTTCTTCGACCTCGCGCACATCAACACGGTGTAGTACCACCGACAGTTTGTACTCGTGAAAATCACACCACAGGTAAACCAACCAAGGCGAGCACCAAACGTCACAAAAAAATGATGAGCCTCGTCTCTGCCTTCCGTCCTCTGTCGTAACCAACATTTTTCGTCGACACCGCCGTAGCCTACACCGTAGCCTACAGATTTGAGATTCTTGATCACATGCTAATGCGCTAAAAAAGCCGTAGGCATTTTGCGCGAGCTGCTTCATTCAGACTACGGCAGCTGCTGCAGCTGCGGCGGCCACGGGCCGGGGGCGCGCCTTGTACGTAACGTCGTCGTCGAGCGTGTCCAGCCTCACGTCGTCGCCCAGGGCCTCTCCCCCCAGCGGTATCGTGGGCACCAGCGCGATGGCTTCCGCGGCGGGGAAGAACTTGAGGTGCACCAGCCGCCTCTTGAGCTCCGCCACCCTCCAAGACGCGAGAGCGTTCACTCCTGGGTATTGGTTATTGTTCGTTCGCGTGTGTGGGAGGAGGGGGAGCATTGTCAGGTACGCGGGCTCTGTCGGTGGTATCGGGTAGTCGCATTCATACGTGTATCCAGGAAGCAGAGGTGTGTGTGCCAATGGATCGACGGAAGATGCTACACGGAGAACTCCGCCTCCGACCGTTTCGCTTTCCTTCCGAAGTCTGTCGCCATTGAAGCTTCCACCCTCTCTTTCAAAACCCGGTTACTCAAGTGTTTCCCTCTACTATTTCCCAACACGATCCGTATCTCTCTCCCCGTCCTAAATCCCCCACTTGCCAGGTCCTGCCCCTCTCTTTCTCTCCCTCTCTCTCTCTCTCTCTCTCTCTCTCTCTCTCTCTCTCTCTCTCTCTGCCCCGGTTTCTCACCGACGCGCTCTCGCTTCACGAGAACCTCTAGCGTGCGCATGGCCTCGCCGCTCTTGAAGGCGTCGTTCGACACGCAGCACAAGTCGTCGTCACAGCCCGTTCCCGCCGCCGTCCCCGACGTCTCCGCGGAAGAGCACCCGCACCGGCACGCGGACGGAACCTGCGCGTCCGCCGCCGGTGCCAATGGTGTCGCCGATGCCCGTGCTGCTACCGGGGATGGTTTTACCGCCACCGGTGGTGGTTTTACCGGTGTCGCCGGTTTTGCTGGTACCGGACATCGTTCTGCCGCTGTTTGCCCTGCTTCTGGCGGGGGTGAAAGGTGCATCTCTGGTGCTGGAAACTTCAACGCCAAACCCTCGCCGGCCGCCTCCGCTTGTTTTCGTGCGGGTGGTGGTGGAGTGGAGGGCACCGTTTTCTCTGCTGGGGGGCAAGACCCAGAAAGGACTGCGCAAGCATCGAGGAAGGCAAAATAATCGCGTAGGAGAGGCGAGGGAGAAACGCAGTGGAGAAGCGGGGCCGCGTTGTTAACAGCAGTTGTCTGACATTCCTTCGACTCTCACGCTCCCGGTGAAGACTTCACCGTCAACTCGGGCGTCAGCTATCGTAAATGTGACCGTACTGCTGTATCTCACCACCTGGAACGATTCAAAGCTCGGTTTACTACTCGTGAAGATGTAGACTAGTAATGAAATTACTTCGTTGAGATTTCGGAGACGAGACAGTCAGTTCCAACGCTCCTATGTTCGCTTTGACCACTCTTTGTGCTGTGGAGTACAGTGAATCGATCTTTGAAAACCGGTCCAGGGGGTGTGATATCTTACGTCACCTACAGCACGCACACAAGAGCACGGTCACCGCTTGCTTCTTACAGCACCCTTTCAAACATCAAAGTCTCCCCGAATGTGCGCGCGTCCAGCGGTAGCGTGGGTAGTGGGTGGACGCGAAAAACAACATGACAACAAAGCGTTCGCAAGAATCTCCCCAACAAAAGATGCGCGGCGTTGCCAGGCAGCAAGTTGAACCATTGCCGTGCGGACTGCTGCGGTAGTCAACAGCAGTAGTGTCGGGCGCCATTTCCTGCAGGATCTCAGCTGTGATAACCACACGTCGAATCCAATGCCCAGGGGCACGTTTGCGAGTCTACCTGCTAACACTGCCTCCCCTTAGCACGCAACAGCAGTACTCAAGTCTTTGTTACCAAGACGGTGTCCTTGCCTGCAGCTCGTTCTTCTCGTTTCGGTCTTTGCGCCAGCGGTGGAGCCAGCTCCAAGGCTAAGTCGGCCGAACTGGGCACCCCCCCCGTAGATCGCGACGCATCTCGCGGCGGCGGCAGAGGCGATGCAAAGAGCCCGCCGAGATTCCGCTGCGGCGTGTACCGGCTGCCGTCGGCGGCATCCCTCGACGCTCTCACGGGAGACGCGAAACTCGCCCCGCCCCCGCCGATCTGGGTGCCGTCCCACGCCTCCGTCTGCGGGTTAGCTGCAGCAGCAGCAGCAGCAGCAGCGGCGGCAGCCTGATGACGGTCCTCACCAATCGAACCCACCACACCCGCACCTGGCGCGGCCGGCACGTCACTGCTACCGCAAGCCTCCTTCTTGGCAGAGACACCGTCGGATCTCGCCCCCGCCGTCCCGTCGCTGAAGAGGCTGCTGACCTTTCGGCCGCTGCGAGGCTTGCTCGACAGCAGGGGGGGCGGTTTCTGCAACGAGAACAAGACGGGCTCGGGAGAGGATATGTCCATTGGAGTAGCAGGGCCGTTACCGGGACAAGGTCTCGCCTTCGAAGGGGTGGCTGCGTGCTTGTTGAGCTCGGGCTCAGCTTGTGAAGCCATGGCGTCCAATGCGAGAAGCAGAGAGAAAGATCGTAGCGAGTGCGAGACAAAGGAGCACGAGACAGAAACAGCAAGAGGTGTGTTTGGCTGTGCCAAGTTTTGAAGTTTTGGCGCGAAAGAGGCCCGCAGATTTGAAATTTTGAAAATTGGGGGAGGGACATTTTTCCTGTGCCCCCGCTCCAGATCTGCCGCAGCTCGCAGCTTGCTGCTCGGTGTCCTCCCTAGCTCGTGTGTAACATTCGTGTGTCACCGGGCACATCCTTCATCGGCAGTGGACCAACACTGTACGATGAGTCGTACGTACAGGCCGAGACTCTCAAAGGATAAGGCCGTTGCCCAACGCCTTCAGGATTTGAGTACCGCGAGCCAAATAGACGGAGTGCTCGACAACTCGAATCCGGCAGTAGCGGCGGTAGCAGCAGGAGCAGCACCAGCACCGGCACCAGGGGGGGGGATGGAAGCAGACGAGACGACAACATCTTTCGGTGGCGCCTCGCGGGAGCTTCCACCCGTTTCAACGCCAATGCCAACTCTCAAGGGGTTCAACAACAGTCGTTCCCACAGCAGCAGCAAAAGTTTGAATCGCGCAAAGACGACGCCGACCCCGACGGCCGGCAGCAGAGGTAGCGGTCGGCTGTCGCAGGCATCAGCCGCTACGACCCCGCCTGCTGATGCCGCAGCAGCTATTCCCAGCAGTACCGCGTCAAGCCCGGCTGCACCTTTAACCACACGCGACAGCAGCAGTCGGCGGCGACGCGAAATTTCTGCTGTTTCCGAGGAGGGTGGCAACGACGGCGGCAGCAGTGACAAAAGCAGCAGCGGCAAGAGCTGGGATTGCGTCTCGTGCTCGTTCACGAACGTGGAGACGGCGAAGAAATGCCGCATGTGCAGCACCAAGCACTACCAAGCGCCACGCTCCCGTTCGCCGTTGGCCGCTGTGGAGGTGGCGCAGGGCGCAGGGAACGGTGTGGGCGGTGCGCACGATCCGGCCATCCGAGGTAAGACCCTGGTCTGCAGTACTCATACAACTGCTACAACGTTTTCAACATGCGCAACAGCAGGTAAGCAGTTTATCGAGACTACATGGATGTACAAGTATTGACTGCAGCAGTTCGTCTGCCAGTAGTCTAGTCTATGCTACCCATTTTCCCTGTAAACCTCTCTGTTCTTACACAGCACACTTTGTCCTTCTTTTGCGCACTCGCCGCAGACACCCAGAGGCGGCGACAGAGCGGTGGTGGCACTCAAGAGCGCCGTTCGCCTCGAAGCTCCAGACAGGATACCGAGGCCGCCAACGTCTCCAGTTCTGAGGGTCGCCGAAAAGAGCAGAGATCAGGAGGAATCTTGGCAGGGGGTAAAGAAGCCAGCAGCGGGGACGGCGCGGGCGGCGGCGTTGCCCCCCGAAAGCGTCGCCGGAGTAAGACTCCTGCCCGTGCAACAACGGCGAGAGGCGCCGAACCAGGGGGCCTTGTGGCTTCATTGTCGGCCGACGCTCCGGCACCGACAGCGAAGAGCACCCCTTCACGTAAGAAGGGGGGGGATGGGTTAGAGGCGGCAGCGGCGGCGGAGACAGCAGTGGCGACTCCGACTGTTCACGACGGGAAAAAAACAGCCGGGGGTGATGGCGAGCGCGGTGCTAAAAGAACGGCCGGCGCGAGTCGAGGGGGGGCGCTGTCGTCTCCCTATCCGTCTTCCCGAAAAGGTGGCAAGAAGCGCGCGAGAACTCCGACTCCACCAACGCCGGCACCAGCTGTGGAAGAGGTGGAAGCGTCGCCGTCCCCGGTAACCGTGACCCACCCCACGGAATCGCCACCACCACCACCACCAGCGGGCGCGTTGCCTCGGGAGCGTCAGGCGAAGGTAGGGCCGTGCATTGTTCCGCCACTGACTGCCGATTCCGACGAACGGGATGGTGACTCGGGTTCGAGAACGAGGAGAAGGAGGAGGAGGGGGGAGAGCGGGGTGTCGGATGCATCAGAGGACGTCGCCGCTACGCGCGGCCCAACCGTGCCGCCTTCTTCGGAGAACGCGCCACCCTCCTCCTGCGCGGACGGCAGGCACTCGTGGCCCACCGCCATCGCTCGCGTCGCCACCCTGGACTTCTCGGGCAAGCCCTCGCTGGTGGTGTCCTCCGTTGTGGTAACGTCCGCAGGAAGCCGCGGCCGCGGCAGCGGCAGCGGCAGCCGCAGCGGCAGCCGCAGCCGCACGGGTTCCGTCACCACCGCCGCGACGGCGTCGATCGTCGTCTGCCACTCGGGAGGAGTCTCCGTCTGGGACCTGACGGACTCCGAGGCGATCTGCACGCACCTGTCGCCGGAGCTCGCCAGCGCCGCGAAGGAGCTCGTCCCGTGGAGGTTTATGGCGGCAGCCGTGGTGGGTGGGGACCTCGCCGGGTCGACGCCCTCCGCGACGAGGGCGCCCGGAGGCGGCAAGGACGCGTGCATCATGGCGGTTGGTCGGCAGGGGACGGACCCCGGCTCCCCGATTTTTCGCGTCTGGCAGCAGGGGTCGCCGTCACCGGTGCCGCCGCTGACGCCGCAGGGCGCCGGGCGTGCGGACAGGAGAAGAAGCAGCGGCGGTACCGTCGGTGGTTCTGCGGGGCGAGCAAAGGAGGCGCCCGCGTTGCAACCGGCAGTCTTGACGACCACCGTCAAAAAGAAGTTTTCGAAGTTTTTCCCGCCGGCGGTGCCGAGCCACGTTACACCTTGTCTCTGCGTGTGCGGGTACTCGGGGGCGAACGGGGAGAGAGGTGATGGTGCTGGTGGTGCGGCGGTGGGCGACGAGGGCGGACCTGGAGCCGAGACGTCCGAATTCGCTCGAGAGATTACTGCTGTGATGGCCCTGGGTGGCAAGGCGCTTCGGCTAGTTTTTGGGGCCGGGAGGAGCGGCTCGGAGACGTTCGTCGCTAAGCAGTTGCCTGCTAGGTTGGCCGACGATGGTGAGAGAGCGTGTGTCGTCTGTTGATGGGAAAAGACGCATCAGTTGAGCGTGTTCGCACATTCGCGGCGGGCTGAAAATCTACCGTTTCCGTATTTGCCTCGACGCACCACAATGACTTCTCAGGTTGGTTCCAACTGTCACTGCTTCCCTCCCCCTTGTGCCCCCTCCTCTGTTATTTTTCACCCCCGCCTCCCGCCTCTCGGCAGCTGTGTACACATCGCTGGCACCCGTGCCGAGCAACCCCTACCTCGTCTGCGCTTCCGCACCGTTGGTCAATTCGGTCTTGGTTTGGAACGTCCTGGACCTGCGTCCCCTCTTCACTTTGCCCATCACCACCGTGAGCGTTTGCGTACCACTGGCTGCTGCTGCTGCTGGGAATGCGGCGGTTGCGAGAGGAGTGCCGAGGGTCGCAGAGGCAGCAGCAGCAGAGGCGGCAGCAGAGGCGGCAGCGGCAAAGCCAGCTCCCCGAATGCTGTGCCTACTGGCAACGGGGAGCAGGCACGCCGGGGGCAGCAGCGAAGGCGGCGTAAGCTCAACCCGGGAAACGAGCAAGGTCGGTTGCGGGCTGTTCGGTGTTTACTGCGGTGGGGGTGACGGCGGCGCGGGAAAACACAGCTGTGGCAGGGTGTCGGCGATCCGCCTGGAGGCTGACGCTGAAGCCGGGGCAGGAGAGCGGCCGGTGGCGGGAGAAGGCGAAAACGGGAGGTAAGTGCAGCAGTTTGGTTCATTTGTCGCCAGGGTTCATGTATGTGTTCTCTGCATGGTCTGCAGGTTCTGTTTGGCATGTCGCACGCGTGCGCACCCTCTCGGCATGATCATCTTGTGCAGTTGTGTTGATTTGCTTTGCCAATATGTTTGGGCGGATGCTCTTCATCGATGGAAACATACACATGGTCTCGCCTCAGTCGCGCGTGTGATTGGAATGCGATGAATCGACGCGACGAGTACCGTCGGCGTTGCCTGTCTGGAAGTTGATTTGTTTTTTAGCGGGTTTAATTATTAGCTGCTGGCTGAGGTTGCTGCGTTGACAGATCACGACCCGACGGCGGATGGAAACAGAAATGGAAACAACAGCTGCTTGGAGAACAACCACACAACACGATAAACCCATTGGTTATCCACCGCGAACTCTTATCTGCGGGAGAGAGAGGATGTGGTTCTAGAGAAATTCGCCGGTCACCGTTCGTTGTTGTGGTCACATTATTAGCAGCCGTCCCGGTCGCTGTTTAGTCAGTCAGTCACACTACCCTCTAACCGTGGCCACAGGCTGCTGTAAGTACCCGAAGGAAATATATCGCAAAACATACATTGTGCAAACAAGCAAAATACCCCGAAAGGGCACAAGAATAACTTCTCGAACAAAGAATAACATCTATCTGCTGCTGATGATGTGCCGTTCGGTTTCTGTACGTTCGATATTTCTTAGTTTTCTTTATAAAGACTGCTTCACAACGCATGAATCCATCTGAATCCCTAGATGAGATTCGGCTTTTTCAAAAAATATTCGAGAAGATGGCAAACAATGAGCGATAGAGACAGGAAGACGGCGAACCAGTGAACACGGCAGAAACAGCGCGCATGGTCGCACATGACCGCCCACTTGTGGCGTACGCTACTGCACGCGGAAATCTATAAAAACTTGGCGAGGGGCCATGATTTGCGATGTCTTACCGTGGCATCATCGAGATCGGATTTTGAGACATGGTCGGGAAAGGGTGGGGGTATCGGAATAACAGGGCCTGCGACAATTAATTTCCGTCGGAAAAGACTGAAGCTTAGCTTACAACAAGAAATCTGACAGCTTCACGAAATATTTTTTCCGACAAGGTCGTGGGTTCGAGAATCCCACTGCTGTTGTAAAACGTCCAGAAAGTACTGGCAGAAGTACTGGGCTGTGTCACGAAACCGACTGCTGAAAGCTACATCGGCACTTAAGGGGGTGCAGAAAAGGGGTTGTGAAGCTGGCTCTTTTTCCCATACTTTAATCCGATACAAACAAAGAAAACAACCTTCCCGCCAGGGTTAGGTGTCCCCTTCTGTTGCCATTAGTAGAGGACACCATGAAGAGGCGTCGCGCGTGCTGGCACGTTCAGGTTTGCTACTGGAGCTGAAATGTCGAAGGTCGCAGCAGCCTCTGAAAACAGTCCGAAATCTGCGCCGGAACCAAGCGGCATCCAACATTTGTCACAGCCGTGCTCACCGCCACGGACAGTAAACCCCTGAACGGGGTTGTCAGTAGTAGCTATTAGTGGCATCAGCTACTGCTGTAAACCCACAGTTCAGGAGATTGGGGTCAGTGGCAGCGAGCACGGCTGCGACAAATGATGGATACCGCTTGGTTCCGGCGCAGATTTCGGATTATTTTCAGAGGCTGCTGCGACCTTCGATATTTCCTTGGATATTTCAGCGCCAGTAGCAAACCTGAGCGTGCCAGCACGCACGACGCCTCTTCATGATGTCCTCTACTGATGACAACAGAATGCGACACCTAACGCTCAAAATTGGCCTTGTTTAAGCGCCTTCCGTTTTGGCTCTTTCGACTAGAATTTAGAATAGCGTGAATTTTTGTCTTGATTTCAAATGAGGCGTGTGGAGGTAGACGCGTGAAATGTATGTTTTGAGCAGCCTCTACTGCCGCCCTGTGCGAGAATCAACGATTTCTGTTTTTCGCGGTGCCTTCCTACTGGTCTGGTGTGTCTGTTGTACAATTTCTGGTGCTCTTGGGTTTGTTTGCAAAATTAGTCAACATCAAAATTCGTCTTCTGCACCCTCTTAATATTCTCGGACGCTCTTCTTTTTTTTCACTGACGACAACGCCGCACGCACAAACTCCTGTGCCGTTCTATCGCCATTTCCAAGATTCGGCTAGAGTATGTAGTGCTCTCGCTGCGCTTGTGACCATAGATTGCACCGACGGTTCCGCGTCAAGCGAGCGCCGAAACCAAGTGATAAAACACTTGTTTTCTGCGCGCAACGCACCAAATAAGGCGGTACAGTATGTTCATAGATACGAGAAGACGCAGAGTTGCGTCTTCAACCCGAAGCATACTGTTTGATATTAGCCACTCTACCCTACGATTTCGATTGGCTTTTGGTTTCGTGTGAAGAAACATGCCACTAAAAACCTTTTGCCTCTTGTTAAAATGTGATTGCTCTGCGTTCGTTCTGACAGGAGCCGAGGGGGTGGAGAGCATGACCATCCCGAAAACGACGCCGGCAGCGGCTTGCGGTGCTTGCGCGACGGTGGTTACGGTTTCGTTGTTGGTGTTGACGGGCGGGGCAAAGTTGTGGCAAGGAGCGTCTTGACCGGAGAGTCTAGAGTGCTCCTTGCGCCAGACACCGCTGCAGCTGCAGCCAACGCTGGTGGCGGGGCGACCTTTGCCACCCTTGGTTGTGACGGGGACAGTAGCATTCTCGCCCTCGCCACGGCGCGGGGGCCGGGCGGCGTTGCTGCCGCGACTTGTGTCGATTTGTATGAATTTTGTGGTTGATCTCACGCTGCCGCTCGGGCAAGTAAGACCGACTGGCGACACAGGCTTGTGCGTCTCCGAGCAATAGCCAATCAAGATCGTGTAGAGGGCATGCTGCCGTTGCAAATACCGCACCGCTACACCACCTCATTCCATGGAATCCCGTCAACTATTTACATTCTTTCGAAGCTGGAGGATACCGGAACTCAAGCCGAGCTCCGTTCTGCCTAACGCTATAAGAAAACCGTCTTGTTTGGCCTCGCAGCTTTGCCTTCTCCTGGTGCTGCTCCTCTCGCGCCGCTCTTGGCGCCACGCCCCCCACTGCTGCCACTCCCGCCTTCGCGGCTGCCGCGGTGGCGCGCCTCACCATCACCGCTGCCACCCTTCGAGCCCTCTCTCTCGTCTAGGTTGTACCCCAAGGCGCGCAGGTCTTCCATGACCTCTTGCTCTCTCCTCTGTCCGGCCTCGAAGCTACCGTCCACCGGCTCTCTCCCCGGCGGGAACATGCCTCCCGCCGCCGCTACTGCACTCGGACTCGCCAGCAGCCCGTCATCGTCCTCGCCCCACCCCTCCCCCCCCGGGAGCCCCGCTGACGGGTCCGGCCTTCGGCCCTCGTACCACGGCCACTGCAGAGGGTTCAAGGGGCGAGACCCGACAGGTCGCGGGTACGGCTTAGAGAAGTCGCGGGGCTCGAAGTCCGGGTCGTACTCGACCTCCTCGGCGGGGTCCACGCCGAGGGGGAAGGTCAGCTTCCGGTAGTTCAGATCGGGGACGAAGAGGAACAGGAACGACTTAGCCCAGGCCGCGGCCTTCGCTCGCCGCCCCCCGTAGCAGGCCTCGCGGAGCACCCGGGCGACCCTGCGCCTGGCGGGGTACGACGCGCACGACCGACGCCACAGGCGGCACAACCCCGCCAAGACCGGCGCGCGCAGCGTTCCCAGCCACCTGACAGACGTGACACACCGGCGGGTGTTGAGGGCAACCACCGCGGAGTCCCTCTCCGCCTCGGCAACCGAGTCCGGAGGCCCGAAAGGCACGCTCTCTAAAGAACGCGGGCCCTGCTTGCGGGCGGCTGCGGTGAGGAAGTCGTCGTCGTCCGTGAGCAAGCGCTCGGGTGCGTAGCCCGCCCCGAGCGGCAGCAGACACCGCTCGAGGTTGGTATGGGCGGCAGCCACGGCGAACAGCCTCGCCGCGCGGCACCAGCCACGAGCGAACTCGCGCTCCGCCCTCGACGGCAGCATGTCGAACTCCTTGCCGTAGAGGGCCTCCACCGCGTCCAGAGACTCGAGGTGGGCCGCCCACTGCGCCCGGCGGATTCGCTCCTGGAGGGAGTCGTGGACCGGCATGTCCAACACAAGCCGATCGGCGATATCGGGGTCACGGAAGCGCCACACCCGGCGCCACGCTCGCACTGCTCGCCGCAGCTCAGGAAGCTGCAGGTCGTCGTTTCGCCCCGACCCGTCCCCGCTCACGCCCAGCACGGAAATGGCGGCGACTTGATCGTCGTCCCACGCGCCGCTCTCTACAGCCGCCACCAACGGGACAATCGTCAAGGCGAAGCTCACGCGCCCCCACCACGAGTTTGGATCCACCTTGATGGAGCCCGGAGTGCTGGACAGGCGGCCCGAGCGCCTCATCCAGTCAAGCTGGTCCACGTACCCCCACAGGAAGTGACCACTCTGCGGGAGGGGGGGGGGCAGACAACGGGTACCGGCGGTCCAAAGTGCAAATTAAAGGTGTGTTGAGTTCAAACACCTAGGAGCACCTGTGGGCTTCACCGAAGTCGACCACAACCGAGTACCATGACATTCGGTCAGGCATCGCGCCTTCCACCGCTTTAAACACCGTCAGTTGTACTCGCGTGCACAAGCTAACAAGTGTACACTTCGGTTGAAAAATTCCAAGTCTTCCAGCATGTCACGCCTCCAGGTTGCGGAGAACTCATGTAAATCTACGCATGCCAACACTGCTGTTGACCCTTTTAGTACTGGACGCCCCAATGGGGACACGTTGGGGGCAAATCACTCCATTGTCTGGTTACCGCACCATAGTCGTCACTAGGCTCCGCTGTGTGAAACGCGCGTGGGAAACGTTGATCCCATGCTTGTGTCAAACTGTGTGCTGCCTCTCCTCGGCCTCTGACTTGCTGTAAACATATCTCTCAAACCGCGCGTTGCGTTCCCTTATTGGTAAAAGGCTGCATGACCTAGAACTGGAAAAAAATAGCTGACTTGGTTTCAGTATGGAAAGTGTCCCCATGTATTTTGGGGGCACTTTTCTGTCTATTTATTAGAACCAAGTTCAGCCTCGTCCCTCGCGGGACTGTTCAACGAGCGGATGGATGCGTTTTTTCTGGACCTTTAACCTTTAACTACCTTTGGTTGGTTCTTAGAGGGTTAAAGAGACCTTACAGCGCATCCGCCTTGTACGGTGTGCTCAACGGCAACAGCACCGGCAGCACGATTCACGACGTACATAGTTGAAACCTAGAGGGGCCTCAGAAACTCTGTCTGCCTCGCCCTCTGAGGCGAAAGCCCCAACGAGCAAGATTCGAGCAAAATATTTGGAATTGTCTGCTGCGCTCCTGACGGCTGTTACAGCAGTATCGTGGGTCAAACAGGAAAAAAAGTAAGCAACCCGAAATGTCATCAGTTGGCCAAGCCTCACTTTCTCACCTGCATACTTTCCGCAGAACCGTGCATCCCGTTGTAAGTGCAGTTCATCAGGAACTTGAGCGCGGCCATGCGATCCACGGCGTTGTACGCGTAGACGCGCCCGGCAGTCCGCAGGTCAGGCACCGATTCCCAGTACTGCGCGAACGGCGTTCGCTCGAACAGCTCGGCCGCTTGTCTCCCACTCCCCTCCCCGTCCTTTGCCGGACGCTCGGGTATCCCCGCTTTGTAAGCGCTGAGGCTGAAGTTCACTGCCGGCTCGTCCGAGAGCCCCCACTCCGGCGCTTCCTCGCCGAAGTAGTCCTGCATTCCCCACACCACCCCTCCGCCCCTGTCCTCTTCCCGCCCAAGCGCGAAGTGTTTCCCCGGGTTTTCCGCCATCCTGTCCCACTCTTGGCCGTTTTCATCCCACCACGCGTCGTCCTCCGTGCACTTAAAGGTCGCCCGGACCGCCTCCTCTACCATGCCCATCTCCTCGGCGTCGGGCTCGAGGGCCTTCTTGTACTGCTGCTCCAGGTTCAAGGGCGGCTCGCTGGCGATGCGGCGGTAGAGCTCCTCCATCGTGCGAGGCAGTGGGTCGTCTGGGTCTAGCGTCCCTTGCCCCGAACGATCGCCACCGCTGTCTATACGTCTCCGTCGGCGTTTTCGTGGGTCGGGTTGCAGGCGTCGAGCGGCTGCTACTCCTGTCGAGGGCTTGCTGCATCGGCGCCGGTGAGCCGCAAATAGCGCCGTGCCGCTCGGCATTACAAAACTTTGAGTTGATGTTGGCGACGTCACGGTGAACGTGGCTCCTACCGTAACCAACAGTTGGGCCCATGATAGTGGCCGCGGCCGCTTTCGACTCATGCTAGCCGTGCTGGAAGTGCCTACTGCTGAATACCGAACCAGTGCCGGGTGCAAGTATCGTTGCGCTGTGCGCTGTGCGCTGTAAGCGCCCGATAGCGCCGCAGAAAAATGCGGCGCAATTAGCAACAAATCAGCAAATCAGCAATCAGCAAGAGCGAGGAGGCACGCGGATGCGATGGAATGTGGTGTTGTTAGGTATGTGATGAGTGAACACATAAGTGCCCCGTGCTGTCCATGTCGTCGCCGTGCATGAGACGTTGCCTGAAGTGCTTGTTTTCTACGTACGTGCTACCCGCAGCGTGTGTCGTATCTGTATGGAGTAGTCGCAATCAACACAGCAGTATTTTTGCCGATTGGTCAGCGCCACTACACTTCCTCGATTGGATATTTACCCTGGGCGAAAATCCTTGGCCGGAAGTGGTTGTTGATGGCAGCCGGGGTCGAGTCCTCGAGGTACATGGATGGCGGCAACGCGCACCTCTCGCTAGACAGTGTTGCATAGGAGTCGCAAAAGAGTACCATAAACGCTTGATGAGCAAGCAGATTTGTCACCACTGCTGCTTTCATTCACGCCATCATCGTCGTCCTTGATAAAAGTAGGAATACGAATAATAATAGCATAGAGAGAGAAAGACCATGTTCGGGTGGAATGAAATAAAAATCGAAGCTTAGTTTCCCCCCGCACTCTTCTTGTACACACTACCCGCCGACTAACGAGACATGGCGCGTTGAGCCGTAACAACAACGATCAAACCTCACCATCAATGAATATACTACGGGGTTCTCTCGCGCCCACCTTCTCCCTCACCGCACGCGAACGGCCGGACAAGGTGCCGACACAAGACAAGAACGTACGTACGTTCTCTCTGAACCCACCCTCACCCCAGCCCTACCCTTCTCTCTCGCGTCCCTCCCGTGTTGCCCACTTAGCTCCGAGACAAGAAAAAAGAAGGTGCCCCACACGAACGAACAGAGACATCCCCGCCAACCCTCTTCTTCTGTATCAAAACTTCATCCTACCAGACGTTGCCCCATCCATAGACATAATCTTCGCGCTCCGTTCCGTCGTGCTTCATCGGGCGTCGGTTTGCCAAAAGCGGCACAACAGTACAAGCCTATTCTCGTTAATGTGGAAGTACGAGCCCCTCCCCACCCCGCACGCCCGCGAAACCTCTTCTTGCGCGCACAGAAACAAGGAACGCTACACGGCGAGGAGTTGTGTACACGTACCACACAACGCGTCGTGTCCTAAGCAGCCGAGTCGAAAGTAACCAAAACCTTAGCGGTGACGTGGAAAAACGAAATGTGGTGACATCGAAAACAAAATGAAGGCACTACAACAACGCAAAGGGGGGGAGCCACAAGGGCAAAAGTCGAGGGAGTCACCTTCAACAGAACCGAATTTGGACAACACCTCCGCCCCCGCCCCCAGAGCCCAAAATGGAAAGCAAGCCAGAGCTCCTTCAGGAAGCACGGCGCATCGTGGCGCGCGAAAAGTGGTGTTTCTGCGGCGAGTCGCATAGTTTTGGCAGACCAAGCCGGCAAAACCACCAACATAACCGACAGAGACAGACTTTTCTCGCGCCTCTCCCCCTATCTCTTCACCCACCGTCGACTGGCACCTTGTAGATAAGCCTGCCTCTGATCACACAGCAAAAACGTTTTACCTCTCTCCCCCCCTTGGCGAAACCGTTGGCCAGGGCTTTCCTGCACCATCCACACCGCCACCCAAACCCCCTGGCGGTGTACCGTCAAAATCTCAGGAGCCCCCTTGTACACCCCAGACCACTCATGGGCAAAATGCTAGCGTTGAGGAGCACACAGCGAACCGGCTATACGTTGCAGAGGGAGAGGAGGGTAGCACAACTGGCACAAGCCATGTATGATACGAGCAAGCCGCCGGACATCACGGGGAGAACAAACTCATATTGTTGTGTATGCGGTGGATATCTTGGGGGGGCAGGGGGCTCTGATTCTTGACAGATCAGGCGGTCTACGAAAGAAAATACCGTCTCTCCCCCTGCTCCACGGCACGGGATAGCCAAAACACGCGCTGGTCTCCCGCCCGCTCCTCAACCGCGCCATCCCTTCTCTCCTCCTTCACAAACAAAAAAGCGGTGCTGGCTAAGAACACAACACTTACTGCACCCAACTCCTCCCAGGAGAAAATGCACCCCCCCCCAAGAGAGAAGCAGAGGCCAAACGCCTCCTCAAAAACTAGGGGAAGGTCGGGAGATAATGCCGTTCCCGAGCATGTCTACCCCGCTGTGGCCATCAATTTCAGTCGGCGGCTTAGTGAGCGGTCCGGATGTCGAAAACAATCAAATCGTACCCACTGCTACCGTTTCACGTCACATGATACGTGCAGCAGCGCGCAGGTGGGGGGGGGGGGGGGGGGGGGGGAGAAAAAAAAAAATTGGAAAACCCCCCCCGGGGTTTTCCTGGGGCCAAAAAAACCCCCCCCAACCCCCCTTTTTTTTTTTACTCCCCCCCCCCAAAAAACCCCCCCTTTTTAAGGGGGGGGGGGATTTCCCCCAAAAAACCCGGGCCCCCTTTTTTGGGGGGGGTCCCCCCCCAAACCCCCCAACCTTTTTTAAAAATTTAGGGCAGGGTTTCCCCCTTCCCCCCCCAAATTTTTTCTTTCCTCAAATTTTAAAAAAAATGAAAAAGGGCCCGGGCCCCCCTTTTTTTTTTTTTTTCCCCCCAAAAAAAAAAAAATGTTTTTTCCCTTTTTTTTCTTTCCCCCAAAAAAAAATTTTAACAAAAAAAAATTTTTTCCCCCCCATTACCCCAAGGACCCCACAAAAAAACCCCCGGGGCCCCCCCTTTCAAAGCAAAAGGGCCCCCGGG